GAAGCATAATGGACCTTTCATATATAGTAAGAAAGTAATAAGTGAATATCAGTAAAACAAAATCATATCTCAGAACATTACAAAATCACAACTGACTTTAAAGTGCAAACATAAATATGTGGTTACATTATTACCTTTCTTATAATTATCATTAAAAATTTCATAGTTTATAAAATACTGGTGAATATTTTATTGAAAAAAGTTATTATAATTCATACATATTAGGACGTCTATAAAAATAGGGTTTTATATATTTGCCTCTTTCTTTAGAAAATCTATTACATTTAAAAGATAATGAATCTCATCAACGATTATATTTCTACAAAAAATACACATTCTTTCATTAACAGGTATATTTGTCTGAATTTGATAAAGTTAAAATTATTGCATTTTGGGAGTACGAGAGATAAGGTTCAATTCCAAAAGACTTTTAAAATAAATTGTAGAAATAACTATTGCTCGATTTATTTATCTTTGAATACCATTCATTTAAGAAAAGATCTTTTAGCTTTGGTCTTACTGTTAATTTCAACCATTTGGTATCGATTGTTCCAAACATTGTTGAAACCGCATTTTATTAGTATTGATTTTAAATTGTAAATCCACGGATATCTACGTTCAAAATCATTATCATAAACATTTATTGTACTTCTTCGCATATAATTGTATACAAAGTATGTCAATTTATTTGGTATTAAACCATTTTCGTTCTGAAGGAGAAGCGCCCAAAATGAAACTATTCTTTCTCCCGATATCCATAGACAAGGCGTACATCCCGTTTCACCGTATATGAAATAACTGGTCGTAGAACGTTTTAGTTTAAGGATATGTTTTAAAAATTCGAGTTGTACTCGTTAAATAACGTCAAGATAACGTATCTCCAAATTTCCATAAAGTAATATTGGTTTAACAGTTTTATTTAAAGTTCAATTTTGTAAGTCAGTTGGTACATTTAATCTATTTGAATTTCTTATCAGACTTTACATCGATTTCTGCAATATGTGTCTTAGTTTTAGCGAAAGGATCACTTCTTTTAAAAATATGCCGAGGTATTTATAATCATTTACAATTTCGATTTGTTCATTTTTATAAGTAAAATGATAATTTCGGTGTCTCCCTTTTGATAATACAACTATCTTGGTTTTAGAAGTATTGACTGTAGGTTTACAAATATTGCAATATCTTTCATATGTATTAAGTGCTTCTTTTATGTCATTTCTATCTCAGCCATAATAACAGTGTCATCTGCATAATTATAACAGAATAAAGAATTGTAAAATAAATGTCAAGCTTCGTTTATAGTTTATATTCGGATCATTATGAAGCAAATTTCCACATGTATTACTATTATTTTGAAAGAAATCTTTAAGGTCATTTAAATACATCGAAAAGTGTAAGGAAGGTAAAATTTCCCTTTGTTACATGAGAAAAAGTTAGACAGTTGATAATTTACCTTCACACAGGATTTTATTCCTTTGTACATATTTTGTACAGCCTTTAGACACTTTCCTTGAATATAAGCATTAATCTCTTTTTCCCATAGAGTATCAAATGCCTGTCTTAAATCAATAAAAGAGCAAACTAGTTTTCTTTCGGTGTTATTTAGATATTTTGGACAAACATAATAATTCGGTGAGCGAAGTTTTGAAGGAGACTAATAATATACTGTTTGATTCTTGTAGTAATGTTTTTGAAGACATCAATTCAATCAACAGGGATAGTGTCAAAAAGTGACATTTGGCGGGGGATTTGTATTGTAGAGAAGGAGTTAGGCCCAATTATATAATTTGTGACTCGACAGTAAATTTCACCGATAATATTAGTAATATACCTGACGAGACCGTTCCCAGAACCTCATGCGATAACATATGTAATAGCCGTGGATTAGAATTGTTAGACCTGTGCAAAGCGACAGGTTTATGAATTGCTAACGGGCGATATGTAAACACAGACGCGTACACATTTTTAACCGTAATGCATGTAGCGTTATTGACTTTCTTTAGTTAAAATATACAGACTTTCATACTATCAATTCGTTTGAAGTCTTGTCATTCAACGCTTTCAGTGACCACGCACCTTTAACATTCAGTATAAATGGAAACAAGCCGCAATACTTACAAAACAACAAAATGCAATCAGAAAATCATAGATATTATAAATGGGATGATGACAAAAGGGAATCATAAAAAAATGGTATAATTGGAAAGCTTAATGTATTAAATGATACTATTTTTAACGACTCTTTGGATATAGACACTGCAATTATTCAATTTTCAAAAGCAATAATAGAAACGGAAGATCCATTATTTAAGACTATTTTAAATTATGCCTGTACGATGTGGGGTTTTTCAAAACGAAGGAAAAAAGCGCATACTTTGAGTTTTTGCAAAGCAAATTTGGGAGTTAAAGCAGCAGTTTATGGGAAATTGGCACGGTATCCTTTGTATATAACAAGATATTTTCAAATTAAATTTTGGCTGCATCTTTTAAATACGGATTACATTATAATTAGATACGTGTCTAACAAAGAAATGTTAAAATGGTAACATGAGCAATTGGGCCAATAAAGTTAAACTTTTACTTGCACAATTCGGGTTTTCTTACGTCGGGGATTTTCATGACAGCATATTAGATTCTCATTTTCTCCCTGTATTCAAACAGCGGCTTATAGACTGTTATGTACAAAAAATGGCGAGCGAGGTCTGCGTGATAACAACTTTTAAAATAATTTATATGTTTACATTAAGGATGAGTTCAACATGTGGCAACATAGAATTAACAGTGACAGAGATTTTGACAGATTTATAGCAGTTCATCAATCAGTAACGCCTTTACATTTATGGCTGTTTTCAAATACAAACAGTGAGATTAAACATGTTATATGTGCAACAAAAGTAAAATACTTCTATATCGACAGTTTCCTGCAAGTTATTCCTGTACAAAATGTCGACAAGAAACTAGTGATATAAACAGACATATCTTTGCTGAATGTGATACATTTACACATGAACGGGCACGCTTTACACATTCAATTGATCAGAAATTTAGCTCTGAAGTTTGCCGTTTATTTCTAAGAATTAACCCGGAAACATTCTTGCGAGGACTCTTTGATTCCAATTTATTTACTGTATTTGGTATTAATCCAGAACTCAAAAAAGGCTTTACCAACCTATGTTGTAAAAACGTTCACAACATAACGATGGAATATAAAAAGTAATCTTTAGAATATTCTAATAACATTCTCCATGAGAGATCGATGTTTATCTCAGACTTCTAAGGTTAAATGCAATATAATAAATCCATACTAAATGTTCCTATACATTACACTTATATTTCGTGTTTTCGATAAGTTTTAAATGTAATCGGAACATATTTAGTAACAGTGCATTAAAAATATTCTGTAAATACCACTATGTCGAACATTAACAATATATCATGTGCTTACTAATAAGTTAACATTGTGTATGCATGCTGTAATAATTCTGTATAATGTAACTATATATTTAATGAAAGACATTGTGTTTTTCGTGTAATAATCATATGTTATGTTCTCATGTAAATGTGTTTTTTAATTGTAATATCAGTCACTGAAAAGTAAATAAAAGATTATATATCAAATCTTATTTTTATAGGCGTCCTATCATGTTCAAATTTACACAGCTTCCTAATTCGAAAAATAATGTCTATAATTATTCATTACATAGACTTTTATATCTCCAACGTTTCGAGGGGTTAATCCTCTCTTTTTCAAGGAGTTTCTGTTTATTTTTACAAATCACATATTTATCTTCTAACATGTTTTATCTAACACTATGTTATTTATGCAGGAAATGATGTCGTTGGCGTCAACAATAAAAATATGCAAAACATGATGTCAAAATTCTTCCAATGCATAATGTTGTTCCACTTATTCACTGTTAGTTATAATATTTTATGTGAAACATATTTCATTGTATTACATTAAGAAAATATAAATAATAAAAATAATATTTATAAAAGCAAATAATAATAATAATAATAATAATAATAATAATAATAATAATAATAATAATAATACTAATAATAATAATAATGATAATAATAATAATAATAATAATAATAATAATAAATAAATAAATAAAAATAATCATAAGAAATAATAATAATAATAATAATAATAATAATAATAATAATAATTATAATTATAATAATAATGATCATAGTGATAATAATATTTAGAAATACTACTACTACTACTACTACTACTAATAATAATAATAATATCAATAATAATAATAATATCAATAATAATAATAGTAAGAAGAAGAAAAAGATGAAGAAGAAAAAAAAGAAGAATGATGATAATGATAATAAACACCAAATCCCAAAAGAAGCTTAAAAACGGAAATATGTAGCTTGATCAGTTTGAATTTGTTCTGAACAATGCGTGCGGAAGGAACTATAATATATGGAATTTTGAAAGTGGACTAGAGGTTATGAAGCCTGCATATCACCGATACGACGTCAAAATTAAAAAGGCAGGCAACATATCCTAAGTGTCATTATACAGTAGTCAAGTCGAATACTGGAACCATCCAACTAGAAAAAAATACATAGAGAAACTAAAAGCACCACAAACAATCATCAACAACAATCATGTCGTGCTTAACGATCTTGAAGGATCGAAAATATAACATCTTTGACTGTATAAACGATACGGCATTTTAAGTCCGCGACACGGCACACATAACACAGTTGTGACAACCACCCCCCCCCCCCCCCAAAAAAAAAAAAAAAAAATAACAACAGCAACCAAACAAGACAATAGAAACAAATCTAAACGGAAACTGTTAAATTGTTGCAAGCTCGGTTTGGTTGAGCCTGTTTATGGGCGGTATTGGAAAGTGCATGTTATCATCCAACAAAGACTAGATCAGTGAAAAATAAATAAAAAAGATGGAGGAACAAAAAATGTATTACCTAACAACATTTAAAAAAAATATAAATAAGAAAGTTATTACCTTACAAGGAAGGTAACAATAGCCAGTCTAACCACGCAATTCATTATCGCGCTACTGAAATAAAATCAATATGCGTGAGCGCTTATAATGACACATAAACCATAACCGGATGTTACTTCTATTTAAATAATTCTTTACGGAGAGAGTTTAAAATAAAATAAGTTCTATTTTTCTTTATGTACACTGTATATACAGACTTCTGGATATTTTCCTTATATACGGGCAATTTTACAAATGTACGCTTTATATTGTGTTATTAAAACATAGATAACTACGGTGTTCGGTTTGGCAAATGTGATTTTTTTTATTTCGTCCTTACCCGCGATGCACGATGGTACGATGGTGAAAACGCGAAAGTAAGATGACACGATGACGAAAACACGATGCAACGATGGTGAAAACACGATGATACCCATGGTGAAAACGCGATGGCACGATGGTACGATGGTGAAAACGCGAAAGTACGATCACACGATGACGAATCACGATGCAACGATTGTGAAAACACGATGGTACCCATGGTGAAAACGCGATGGCACGATGGTGAAAACGCGATAGCACGATGTTGAAAACGCAATGAACGATGGTGTATGCGCGATGGTACGATGCTTAAAACGCGATGTTACGATGCTGAAAACCCGATTGCGCGATGGTGCGATGTTACGATGGTGAGACAACGCGATGGTACTATGGTGAAATCGCATTGGTACGATGGTGAAAACGCGATGGTACGATGGTGAAAACGCGATATAACATGTTGACATTGTTTTTGTCAGTTGCACATGCTTAAACATTGTTACTATGAATAACCTTTTTGTCTGATATTTTTGATCTTTTTTTCGTCGATGAGATTCTTAAGTTCACATTTGCCATTATGATTCGGATTGATTTGTACATATGTTTCTATTTACTGTCTGTAAATTATCATTAATTTGTTACATGTACATTGTATTTCAATGCTACAATTAAAACGCTACAGGTGTCTAATAAGATGCTTTCAATAGTCAGAAAAGGTATTGTTAAGTATTTCTTCCCATTTTGATATCGTTATGCTTTAAATTCTAAACTGCATAAAAGTGTGATTAAAAAAAACAATAATAAAAAAACACCAAAACACAACGGTAGAACTTTGCTATACACAAGTGTTCAGGGTTCAATACTTCTTTATTTTCCGAAAATTACCTTTATTTTACATTTCTTTTTTTGAAAACACATAATTAAATGTGACCTTCGTCTTTCTATTTTTCGAAAATACTAATTGTTAGTTCAGAAAATTCAAACAACCTAGTTCTGATTTATGGCACCATGCTTAGTGTAAAATGCAAATATAATGACTTCCAGTATATAAATATATACAACATGGACCTTTGTTCAGCTTGTTAATTTTTCATCATGGTGATAAATAAAATAATGTAGTCATTTGGTATGTGATAAATTTGCTCCGTTAACTCAAATCAATTACTCATCAAACATGTTTGTTCGCGCACTTAATCGCGGTTGTCAAATATAGCGTGTTCTTATATGTAATGTCTTATTACAATAACGAGTTCAAACATCAAAACCATCCAAGATTTTTTTTTATCAAATTCACACAAAGGAACATAAACTGCTGATTTAGATGTTTATTGTAATTTAAACCGATTTTAATACCGTGGGAAACATATCTAAATATGTATAGATCAATGATATAAGAGACGTATTTTTAGGTTTGTTTTCCGAAAATCATAAAACAGACAGTACATAAATCACTTTATGCAGATCGTACGGACATAAGCAATAAACATATCCAAATAGGGTAGATCGTTTTTGTTGTTACATTGTGTGTTCGATCACATTAAGGCTTGACTACTACTAGTATATAAATCCATATTTATCATTTATGAAGAACTGAATAGTTTGTATAAGGTAAGACGTACATTTTTTATCATGTTATTTGTTAATAAAACTGGTTGTTTTTGCGAATTAAATACATGTGCACAGTTTGATAAAATTTTGTTTAACCAATTTAATTTGTATTCTCGGTTGGCAGCAATGTAAACCGTAATGAGACTTTGTGTTGAGCGCAAGTTTCACCTATCTCGGGTTAAAGTCAGGATGAGACTTTTTTTGTCATCTTGGTATGAATTAAATATTTTGTGTCCACTCTATGTCTTTTAAACCGATAAAAAAAGAAATAACAAAAAATGCCAGAAATATCAATTACAATGGAATGATGTGCACAATATAGGTTTAGGCTTCCTGGGATCAAAATTGATCTCACTGGGGGATATTTTGTGCAGGAAAATTTTATATATCTAAAGGAAAAGACATTTTATGTTTAGTAGGCAAAACAACTATTAAATGTGTAGAGTATGTAACATTACCTTATTGACCCTGACAAAACTGATATGAACAATCAAAATCCTTGGCTAGAAGGTATATTTTCGTCATAAGTAATGAAATTAATGGAATTGTGTTTGAACGTCTAATCAAATCGAATAAACATCAAGGTCACACTAATTGTATATCCGTTCCATGTAATAAATTACATAAATTCCAATACATGACAATTTCAAAAACAGCTAAATATAATATTGATTTGTGACTTAAAGTCCAGGTCCGTCTGGCGAGCTTGCGGGAACATTCTAAAAGATTGTTCTGTCCTAATATGAAGACAATTCATTAATCACCATAAAACTATATAACCACTTTGGTGCATGTGTTCTTATAGTATTGTAAGTAAAGAAGGGGCATAATTATGTTAAATTGACTATAAGAATTATGAAACTTAAGTTAGACAGTAACATTGTGATATTGCTTTGACGTGCCAAGTTTCAAGTCTACATGTTTAACTGTCTATGAGATTGAACAGGACGGGACGTGACAAAATGATTACTATATAGCCCCCACCCCCTGAAAATGCTTGGTCTTGGGTATTATAATCAAATTTCCTTTAAGTTGAAACGACCATCATCTATGCAACTAACAACGAGACTAGAATAATTTGTTAAGATTTTACGTTTTGAACAATGTCGCATTTCATGAAACATTACTATTACCTTAATTTCTAAATATGTTTGTTTATGTTTGCTATCTTATGTTGTTTTTTTAGTTTATAAAAAAAGTTATATCAATAAAACAATTGTATCATTAACTTTGGACTTCATTGATGTGATGGAAACAGTAGAAATACTTATCGCCTTTTATTACTTGTTTTTTTTTCTCGTTATAAATAGACATGAAATACTGTGAAAACGAATATAATTTAAACTCAGTGCATTTTCTTTTAAATACTGTATTGCATTCTTGTTTAACATTTATTTACCAGATTACAAGATAACAAAATGGCAGGCGATGGCTTCCGTGATAACCGAGGACGTTTTCTACCGAATCATATGAACGCTAACGATGCATTACAACGTTGGTGATAGGTATCAAGTATCAGCTGATTATATGGGCAAACCTGAAAATGCTATAGCGGAGATTAAAGAACCTAATCCGCATCAGTACGGTCCTGGGGTGAGCTCAGATATTTATCCGAAGAATGGAAACCCGCCTAATCTTGTCACAGTGAACAAAAAGTATAAAAAGTGATACATACTACTTAGTAACGCATCTTAAAGTAATATACAGTTTATTGAACAAAAGTTTTATCTGACATTAGGAAAGTACTTTAGTTTGGAAAGCGAAAATTTTTTATCATTGTTCCTGATTTATTGTTTATTGTTAATCTATATACTGTGTTACTTTCATGATAAATTAATTTTTAGTTTTAAGTATTACTATAAAATCATAATTTTTTTTTTTGATACCGATGATTAGTATTCAAAATGTTATTAATAAATGTTTAACATTTTAGCAATTTGTGTCATGCACTTTTTCATTATCCCTCATTTACACACTCAAACAAACGGAGTCTGCAATTTTTATGTAATTTTGCTGTTTTTAATGAATCTGAGGAACCACTTTGTTCCAGATATTCCATATTCATTCTGTAGAAATTTCAGATAGTAATAGTACGTATCGTTTATCTATTCATCTCAATTTACATGTTGACGTAAAAAACGCTGGTAAAGCACAGCATACCTGAATAAAATTTGTATGGAAATTATTATTATTTAATTTATTTAGGGCCTTTAATAATATAATACATGCAGTAACTTCAACAACCTTCAGTGTTTTCCTAGACAACTTTATGTCAGGGGAAGTCCCCAAAAAGGTGTCATCATTTACTTTTACTAACAATCATTTTTACTTTTACTAATGAAATTAAAACCTGGATTATTTCATAGATAATTATTTGGCCATCAGATTTATCAACCCCAAACTAAATGTTTAAATCATGGATCAATAGATTTTTTTCTAAAACTTATTTCTTTAGGCATATCTCATCATAAGATACTATTTCTCAAAATATGATAAATAATAAAGCTAGACGTTTGTGTTCATAAACAAATATTCAAAACTTTAAAAGGTCAGAAAGTTTCAAAATTAGTTATATATTTTTCTTGTTATTAGTGCTTCAGTTGTAAACAATTGACCAGTCATGAGATAGATTCTGTCATCATCCTGTCTGTATAGTACACAAATAAATGCATCACACATACAGATAAGTTTCTGTACTTATCTTCGCATTTCAGTTAATTTATTTTTCAATATATTCTATTTCACGGGAACAACAAAAATAAAACATATTTTGTACATATTATTATATACCTTGCCTATCTTGTCATCTAAGATTTTTGTCAATGTGACATTGCAATGAATGTTGATAGATAATTATGACGGAACATAATTTGCTTAAGTATGACTCTGACTTTTCCAATTTATTTACAGTGTATCTCCACATCAAGAGACAGTTCGTATATTTTTCCTACACTCATACCGTAGCTGTGATTTTCCGATGTATTGTCCCTGTAATATTTTAAGGTTTACATTTGTACAAGTACATTTGAGCCGTGTCACGACAAAACCAACAAAATGGGTTTGCGACCAGCATGCACATCTGCGCAGTCTGATCAGGATCCATGCTGTTCGCTATCAGTTTCTCTAGTTTTTATAGGGTTTGTGAGCGAACAGCATTGATCCTGATCAGACTGCGCGCTGCGCAGGCTGGTCTGGATCCATGCTGGTCGCGAACCCATTATGTTGGTTTTGTCGTGGCACGGCTCATTTGTATAAGCAAAATGTGAAAAACAAAATGTAACCTTCAAGTAAAAATCGGCTTTATATTGATCCCTTTTTCCTTTAACTTAAGTAAAATTAATCCATAATTTAACAATAAGTTTTTCTTTTGGTCATTAATACTTAATATCTGAAGAAATAACGGTAGTTTAAATTAGATTCATAGTAAAAGTTAACGCAATAAAATCATTAAAGGAAAATTACAACTTAGAGGTAGCTTTGTAATGTTACGTGATACTTGTGCTTATCAGTAATTAATTGGGTCAAGTTGGGTTTTTCCTGCATTCTCTATAGTAAATTGTAGAATTAAATACAGTAGTCTCTAAAATCATTAAAGGAAAATTACAACTTAGAGGTAGCTTTGTAATGTTACGTGATACTTGAGCTTATCAGTAATTAATTGGGTCAAGTTGGTTTTTTCCTGCATTCTCTATAGTAAATTGTAGAATTAAATACAGTAGTCTCACTACAGTCACATCACTGGTTCGTCGATACAATGTTTACTTAAGTAATTTTCCTGACATAGAGATGGAATTATTGCGAGCTTAATTGTAGAACCTATTTACCTTACAATTAGACAGCCTGGATTAAACTAGTCACCAAATATGACGATTATAATCCTTATGACTCTCAAATTATTAATAATATTGAAGTGAACTGGGTTTTTGAGTGAGAAGTCATTCTCAATTCAAAATATCCTCTTTTTTCCCCTTTTTCAAAAACATGTTGCCAACAGCTGGCAAAAAATCAAAATGTTTTAATTTCTGAGACATGAATCTTTTCTGACATTATTTTTTAAAAGTAACAGGTTGTATTACTTTCTTTTTCATACACATTACTAAAACTTAAATTGGTTGGAAACAGGTGAATATTTTAAGTTTTAATATACTGCAAGTCTGTAACGTCACTTTTCATTGGATAATCGTGACGTTTATATTTAAGAAATAATATCGGTCTTAACGGTGCTTATCAGATATTGAACACCGGTTTTGAGTTTTGATGCGTAGGAATTGACCACGAAGGCCGTAGGTAATATACACATTAAATTTCCCCATTAGGTACCCACTTTATAACCAATATGCGCTGTGACGATGCGCTTACGGTTCGATGTTGCACAGTGTAAATTCCAATATTCTAGCACTTTTTAACTGTCAAATAAAACATATTTACCACAATAGAGTAATGATAAATATCATCATCAGTATTTAAAACAAATACAAGAAAAGCATTGATGCAAAGCATCACAGGCGACGCCAAAAAAAATGATCAAGTTTTGCACCTAAATTCTTAACAAAAGATGTGTACTTTATAGCAATACCATATAATCCTAATGGGGAAAATTTATGTGTACATTACCTTTCTGGCTTGGTTATATCAATTTCTTTCGGTGGATATTATATCCAATCAAAAAAGGGGTAAAAATCTGGAAGGGTAATAACATTTTTTATAATACTGCACGTTTGTAACGTCATTTTTCATTGGATAATCGTGACGATTATATAGTTTTATATACACGGCTGCTGTCGATACATGAAGAAATCTTACTTTTTTCTCTAAACATCATGCTTGCTGTATTATAAATTCGTTATAAAGATCGTTGACAGGTTATATGGCAGTATATAAATGGCTGTTTGCAATATAACCCTCGCCTAACGACTCGGGTTATATTCACAAACAGCCGTTCATATAGGGCCATATAACATGTCAACGATCTTTATTACTAATAATATACACGGCTGATATCAATTTTCTAAGAAATTTCACTTTGTTCTAAACAAAAGAGAGTTTGCTGTATTAAAAATTCGTTTTAAATATTCTTGACCATAAATATTCGTGATCATATAAAAAAGGTTGTTTGCAACATAACTTTTCCTGGCGGCTCGGGTTATATTTCCAAACAGCTGTCTATATAGGGCCATATAACCTGTCAAATATATTTAAAACTATAATAATATACAATACTGTTATGCCGTCGTGTTAAGATATGAGACTTCGGTAGAAAAGAAAACACGATTTTTATTGTGCAACCTGACATATATGTAGTCAGGAACTCAGTTTCCAGCCTTCTTTATAAATATTAGCAAGACTTTTAAATACAAGAAAACCTTATTTTTTATGTCATCTGGAGCTAAGCCACTTAAAAATCCATCTGTAAGACAGCTTTCAGTTTTTGAAAAATTCTCAATTTCACATAATGTCAAATAATTTACCCAAATTTAAACGAGGGGCCTTTTCAAAAAGGCCAGCATGGCATGAAAGAGGCTAGATTCCTTTTAATCACAGGACTTATTCCGTTAAAACGAAATATTAATTCGTATTTAGGAATAAATGTTTTGTAATATTGACCTTTTAATTACGAAATCGTATTTCGTTTTTTAAGGTATAAATATTTCTTTATCGTAAAAAAGACAATTTATACATGTTTTTACTTGGGGCAGCCAAAATTATCCTCTACGCAGGATAACTCACGGTGCATATCCATATCGGTACTCTCTTTGCGAAATCTGCTGAAACGGTACCCTCTTTGTACATGCACAGGCCATTCTCTACTCAAAACAAACCAGCGATGGATAACAAGCCAGTAGAAATTCATTGTAATATGGAAAGGAGGTATGACACGTGGAAAGGATGTATACCACGGAACACTAGAATGTTTTATCTATGTGCTGATTTGTCATGTGCCCGTTTTTCATGCACTGCAACTTCACAATAAGCTACAAAAAATCAACATGTCTTGCTTCGCCCATCACCTCGACATACTTTTCGGGCTGAAATGAACATGCGGCTTGATTATATATGCATCATACATATTTACTATGTTCATTTACATATCATCTTCGGACAAATGGCAGTATATTGCCAAAAATAATTGTAAAATTCATAAAATCACCATACTTTCGGTTTTGCAGCGGCACGGGCTATCTCTCTTCATATGAATTTTTATATCACAGGTACCCTCTCATTTTTTAACACATAAGTACCCTCAAGGCACGACATATGCTTTTATTTGCGTTAATCGTTAAGTATGTAATATTTACATAAAAGTAAGAAATATGTCGATTTTTTTGTAGCTTATTGTGAAGTTGTAGTACATGAAAAACGGGCACTTGACAAATCAGCACATAGATAAAACATTCTAGTGTTCCGTGGTATACATCTTTTCTACGTGTCATACCTTCTTTCCTTATTATATTGAAATTTTACTGATTTTGTTATCCATTGCTGGTTTGTTTTTAGCAGAGAGTGGCCTGTGCATGTGCAAAGAGGGTGCCGTTTCAGCAGATTTCGCAAAGAGGGTACCGATATGGATATGCACCGTGTAACTGGCAAAATATGACAAACACATCATCTTATTCAATCTTCTTGTTAGTCACCAAGACTTGGAAAAAAACGAACGTAGGTCGGATAGGCAAACTATATAAAATGTACCCCATATTTTATACATAAAAAGAAGTGAAGGAGGGAGGGGTGTCGAGAGAACCCCATGTGCACCTGATGGCCTGATGGAAATTAAGAAAAATGTCTTTTGTATTTCTAGAAAATCTTTGTCTCATTACACTGGTAGACATTTGGACAAAAGTCAGAAAGTGAGAGACATCCCCACCCCACCCTCCTTATCACACAGATGTTTGTTCCTGTGTATACATGCTTTTCAACTGTCATAGGAGATGTATGGTTAAAG